CTACTATTAGGATGAAAATCGGTCAATCCAAAACAGAGTTATTAAATTAAACCATCCAGTTATCGTTAAAATATTACCACAACTGAAATGACATGCAGCACCTTAAAAGGGCCCCTGCACAGTAGTCATGCCCGGCAGCTGATGACAACCGGCTTTAAATGAAACTTAAATCATTAAAATCATTCTTGATTGTGAAAAATCACATCCCATTCGGTCGCCAGAACTGCACCACATTTTCACCATTTGTTTTGGTCTAAATATTCGAGTCTGGACCAGACAATCCAGTGATCAAGTGTTGGAATTTAACAAAACACACAAAAACCTTTCATTGGTGGGTAATTCCTTTCCCTTTATTGACCCGGGCCTCCTTTCACAAAGCACTAAGGTGATCGTAAGTCACTAAGGTAGCCTTAGTGCAATGTTAAAGAATGGAAGTTAAGGTTAACCTTAGTTAAGGTTGCTTCGTGAAAGGAGCCCCTGCACTTTCATTTCCGACAAAGGTCAAAACGATCATTAAGTGTGATCCAGAGCTCACAGACAGTGGTTGTTGCTAGAGCTCATTTTCCACACGCTGTCCAAAATGTGTTGAGCGCAGTGTCTTTGACAGGTGGTTTTGAGGTGTGTTTTCTTGTTGTATGTTGTTTTACGCCATACTGAGCTTTTTCCAGGACACCAACCGAGAGTGGACTAGACAAATCCAGTGATTGACGTCATGAGCATCGTCGCACAGGATATGGAGAGAGTGAGTGATAGTGAGAGTGAGTGATAGAGAAAGTGAGTAATGGTGCTGGTGATGGTATTGTGGTAGATGATGAGATTCGACACCACCTATCTACTCTGTTTGAAATTCATATGACATGCACTAATTTTTAAAGTGGCACCTTTTTGTTGAAATCCTACATCCGTCTAGAATATGACCTCAATAGTGAATCAAATTATCCGATCCCAAAGGTAAATAACAGTGGGGGCCACTATACAGACGAGGAAGTATCTGCCGATCTAGGTCAGGTCAGTGGGGCAGGAACCCGGACAGCCTTCAACTTAGGCGCTCCGATTCACTATTGACATCAATGAAGCAGATAGAGTTCAGCGCGGCCTTCAAAATGAAAACGATGAGAAGACAGTAATTGTTCTTTCAAAGTAACTAACAAACAACAAATGGAACCTGAATACCGGTACGTACAATCTGCCATCCCTTTATCTCCCCTGGACAATAATCATTTACTTGAATTAAATTAATTAAATCATGGTAATCACTGTCACCATTGAGCAGCTTTGCTATTTTTATGTGTAAGAAAAAATATTGTTAGTAATTCATCCTATGTATGTATGTATGTATGTATGTATGTATGTATGTATGTATGTATGTATGTATGTATGTATGTATGTATGTATGTGTGTATGTATGCATGCATAGTGTCTATGTATGTATGCATGTATGTATGTATCCGCGTGTGTGTGTATGTATGTATGTATGTATGTATGTATGTATGTATGTATGTATGTATGTATGTATGTATGTATGTATGTATGTATGTATGTATGTATGTATGTATGTATGTATGTGTGTATGTATGTATATATGTGTGTATGTATGTATGTATGTATGTATGTATGTATGTATGTATGTATGTATGTATGTATGTATGTATGTATGTATGTATGTATGTATGTGTGTGTATATATGTATGTATGTATGTGTGTGTATATATGTATGTATGTATCCGCGTGTGTATGTATGTATGTATGTATGTATGTATGTATGTATGTATGTATGTATGTATGTATGTATGTATGTATGTATGTATGTATGTATGTATGTATGTATGTATGTATGTATGTATGTATGTGTGTATGTATGTATGTATGTATGTGTGTATGTGTGTGTGTGTGTGTATGTATGTATGTGTGTGTATATATGTATGTATGTATGTACTAGTTTACGTTCATGAAAGGTCACAGGGACAGGCATTGTCAAACCACAACAATGAAAGAAACTTGTGAGTGTGTGTGTGTGTGAGTGCGTAAGTGTGCGTTGTGATACGTGTCAAGTGACCTTGTGAATACATCTGGCTCTGCAGGTGATGATCCTTGATAGCTATGCACACAGCTTTAATACAGTACAGCAGGCGTGACATTGGTATCTGTAAACAGTAGACTGCCCGAGAACACAAGACTTACCTCCGCACAACGAAAGCAGTTGGAGGAAGTAACACGCAGTCATGAGAATCCTGCACTGTGCGATGTAGCTGGGTGACAACAGCACACAGGCTACGCTGCTACGTCGTGGAAGACGACGCGTCACAACCCACCATTTGTTTTCATTTATTTCAAAGCAATTATTTCAAAACTCAGATTCTGTAGGAGCGTCATGCATGTTTGTGTGTGTCTGTGTGTGTGTGTGTGCGCGCGCGTGAACGTGAACGCGTATGTACAATCTATTATTTTGTAATGAATATCCATTTATTTGTAAAACTGATGGTGGAGGAAAGTGATGAATAGGCCCCATTTTCAAAATACGAATTCTAGTGCTTTTACGGGTCCTATCTGGGATTCGAATCCACACTTTCAGAGTGAGACACCAAATCTTCACTACACAACGTCAGCCCGCTGAGCAGCCAAGGCTTCCGCTGAAATAGATGTCCAGGCCAGTGCTGGCAATTTGGTGCCAACTCTGTTTGGGTCCAAATCCCGGATGGGACTCAACCCTGTCAAGTAGTAGTTGGACTTTGCTCTATAAAATATTCACAAAACACTGTCCATCATATTTGACAGATGTTCGACTCTTGGATTTTCTACAGTTAACCTAAACAAACGTATAATTTCTTGCATAATTTTCAGTTTTCAGTCTCCTCAAGCAAGAAGCTTCAAGTGAGTATGGTTTTACCCCACCTTTAGCACCAGCAATATCACATCAAGCAATTTAGGTTGTATACTCCGCAAGGCGCTGAGGTTGACATTCCATAAACGGGGTATGAGACAAGCCGATAGTCCTTACTTGCTTACATGCTCAGCGTCAGACAGGTCATCAACAATTACCATGTTGAATTGTGTTTTGATATGATATGAGGATCGAACCACATACCTTGTGCTCGTAGAGCATACGCTCCAACCACTGCACCATGGACGGTGGAGTATGGTGTAGCGGCCACCAGTTAATGACTGACTATTGTGCAGCGAGAGGCTGCCAGTGAGTATGTGCATAATTAAGTGGACTTCAATTGTACACTCTTCACACACTCTGCTACATATAATTGGACAATTGATCTCTGTAAACTGTCATCTTGAAAACTGCCTTTATCAGTTGGTAGAATATTGTAGTGAGTGAGTGAGTATGGTATAGCAATGTCCCAGCAATATCACGGCGGGGGACACATGAAATGGGTTTCACACATTGTACCCATGTGGGGAATCGAACGTGACGAGCGAATGCTTTAACCCCATCCCCAGAAAATACTGAAAATATGGAGAGCAGTATTTACTGGATCTTTTGGAAATTATATTGTTAATGATAGCTGATTGTCTCCGATGCACTTTAATAGACCTTTTTTCGTATCGCAAGGTCTAAGTGTCAATACGGACTGAGCAGCTTAAGTTATGTTACTGGTAGGTGGCAGCTAAATATGGCACACAATTTCTCATCTCATTCACACATTAGTAATTTCTGGGTAAAGAGATTAAACTGACTTTTTTTCTGAAATATTTTATAAATCAAAATGGCATTAAGACACGTTTCATGAACAGGCTCATTTATGACAAAATACAAATAACATTAGGCTTAGCATACATCCCTGTTGAACGCCACTGGAAGTACAAGAAGCTAAGTGTAAGAAATTGTCACGTTTTCACGGAAGAATGCATACAAATAGTACCGTAACAAAATCATAAGCATTTTTAAAATTAGTAGTGCTAAACAAAGCTATACCAAATTTCCAGATTCGTGAAAAATACATGTAGCAAATATATTTCATCACTACTCCGTATACTGTTACAAAAATAGAATTATCAAAAAAATACAGAATTAGTATAATCTCTATGCCAGTGGAAAAATTACCTATGTAAAAATATGCACGTGTTCTTACGTTTTTCAAAGAAAAAAACACATCACTAAGGAAATACCACATTTTTGACGAAACCATGACGAAAAAATTAGCATTCCTAAAATTAATAATTGATCTATAAATTCTACCCTTGGTTCAACGCTGATATATGCTGCGACGTCCTTGACTAGAACATATATTACCCGTCACATTGTCTTTGCTTCAATTACAGTAACCAGTACCATCATGCATATGTACATTGGACATAATTCCTGTCAAATTAAACAATTAGCATACCAGATTTAAAGATCTTTCCAAATCACATGTATTAAATATTTGACGGAATAAATAAACAATCAAACTAGTATGCACATGCGTTATGTAATTTATAATAGTAAACACCTGATTCATGAAACAGTACACAATGCCTTATGTATCAGTATACATCTGGTTTATGAAACAATACACAATGCTTTATGTATCAGTATACATCTGGTTTATGAAACAATACACAATGCTTTATGTATCAGAATACATCTGGTTTATGAAACAATACACAATGCTTTATGTATCAGTATACATCTGGTTTATGTACACAATGCCTTATGTATCAGTATACATCTGATTAAACAATACACAATGCTTTATATATCAGAATACATCTACACAACGCTTTATGAAACCTGGTTTACATACACAATGCTTTATGTATCAGTATACATCTGGTTTATGAAACAATACACAATGCTTTATGTATCAGTATACATCTGGTTTATGAAACAATACACAATGTTTTATGCGGTATATATCTGGTTTATCAGTATACATGCTTTGTATCAGAATATGAAACAATACACAATGCCTTATGTATCAGTATACATCTGGATTACGAAACAATACACAATGCTTTATGTATCAGTATACATCTGGTTTATGAAACAATACACAACGCTTTATGTATCAGTATACATCTGGTTTATGAAACAATACACAATGCTTTATGTATCAGTATACATCTGGTTTATGAAACAATACACAATGCTTTATATATCAGTATACATCTGGTTTATGAATCAATACACAATGCTTTGGGTAACAGTATACACCTGATTTATGAAACGGTACACAGTGTTTTATGTAACGGTATATACCTGGTTTATGAAACAATACACATTGCTTTAGGTATCAGAATACATCTGGTTTATGAAACAATACACAATGCTTTATGTATCAGTATACATCTGGTTTATGAAACAATGCACACTGCTTCATATATCAGAATACATCTGATTTATGAAACCGTACACAATGCCTTATGTATAAGTATACATCTGGTTTATGAAACAATACACAACGCTTTATGTATCAGTATACATCTGGTTTATGAAACAATACACAATGCTTTATGTATCAGTATACATCTGGTTTATGAAACAATACACAATGCTTTATGTATCAGTATACATCTGGTTTATGAAACAGTACACAGTGTTTTATGTATCAGTATACATCTGGTTTATGAAACAATACATAATGCTTAATGTATCAGTATACATCTGGTTTATGAAACAATACACAATGTTTTATGTATCAGTATATATCTGATTTATAAAACAGTACACAATGCTTTATGTATCAGTATACATCTGGTTTATGAAACAGTACACAATGCCTTATGTATCAGTATACATCTGGTTTATGAAACAATACACAATGCCTTATGTATCAGTATACATCTGGATTATGAAACAATACACAATGCTTTATGTATCAGTATACATCTGGTTTATGAAACAATACACAACGCTTGATGTATCAGTATACATCTGGTTTATGAAACGATACACAATGCTTTATGTATCAGTATACATCTGGTTTATGAAACAATACACAATGCTTTATGTATCAGTATACATCTGGTTTATGAATCAATACACAATGCTTTGGGTAACAGTATACACCTGATTTATGAAACAGTACACAATGCCTTATGTATCAGTATACATCTGGTTTATGAAACAGTACACAGTGTTTTATGTATCAGTATACATCTGGATTATGAAACAATACACAATGCTTTGTATATCAGTATACATCTGGTTTATGAAACAATACACAACGCTTTATGTATCAGTATACATTTGGTTTATGAAACAATACACAATGCCTTATGTATCAGTATACATCTGGTTTATGAAACAATACACAATGCTTTATGTATCAGTATACATTTGATTTATGAAACAATACACAATGCTTTATGTATCAGTATACATCTGGTTTATGAAACAATACACAACGCTTTGGGTAACAGTATACATCTGATTTTTGAAACAATACACAATGCTTTATGTATCAGTATACATCTGATTTATAAAACAATATATAAGGCTTTGGGTAACAGTAAACAGTGTTTTATGCAACAGAATACACCTGATTTATGAAACAGTACACAGTGTTTTATGTATCAGTATACACCCGATTTATAGAACAATACACATTGCTTTATGTATCAGAATACATCTGGTTTATGAATCAATACACAATGCTTTATGTATCAGTATACATCTGGATTATGAATCAATACACAATGCTTTGGGTAACAGTATACACCTGATTTATGAAACGGTACACAGTGTGTTATGTAACGGTATATACCTGGTTTATGAATCAATACACATTGCTTTATGCAACAGAATACACCTGATTTATGAATCAATACACAATGCTTTATGTTCCAGTTTTCACCTGATTTATGAAACAGTATAAGCATCCCTTATGTTACAGTACCCATATACTTCTGAGTAACAATATACACATACCACATATACCGACACGCATTTTGTAACAATACACACATGCTCTATCTTACATTATAAACATGATACCTGTAACAATAGACACATGCTCTGTCTTACATTATACACATGATACCTATAACAATACACACATGCTCTGTCTTTCATTATACACATGATACCTATAACAATAGACACATGCTCTGTCTTAAATTAAACACATGATACCTATAACAATAGACACATGCTCTGTCTTACATTATACACATGATACGTATAACAATAGACACATGCTCTGTCTTACATTATACACATGATACCTATAACAATACACACATGCTCTGTCTTACATTATACACATGATACCTATAACAATAGACACATGCTCTGTCTTACATTATACACATGATACCTATAACAGTAGACACATGCTCTATCTTACATAATAAACATGTACCTATAACAATAGACACGCGCTCTATCTTACATTATACACATGATACCTATAACAATACACACATGCTCTATCTTACATTATACACATGATACCTATAACAATAGACAAATGCTCTATCTTACATTATACACATGCTACCTATGACAATACACACATGCTCTGTCTTACATTATACACATGATACCTATAACAATAGACACATGCCTTAAAAAACATTATACATCTGATTTATGTAACAGGAAACGCATGCTTTATGTAACATTTTACACGCCTTATGTAACAGTATACACATATCTTATGTAACAGTATTCACATGGCATATGTGACCCGTGAAGATCCGGGTTAGAATTGGTCTTCAGCAATTCAGGCTCACTGACTCGGTTGACTTGGGTGTGTAGATAGATGCTCATGCTGTTGTTCACTGGATTGTCTGGTCCAGACCCGATTATTTACAGACCGCCATATAGCTGGAATATTGCTGAGTGCGGTGTTAAACACCAACCAAACCAAACCAAACATGACATATGTATAACTGTACGCCTAGTTTGCTTATATGTTCGTTTGAACTGTCATTCTCATAGTTCGCTACAGAGTTATTAGCAGAAGCGGTCGTGTTACACAGACATCTTCCTTGTCGATACCGAGGGTAAAGGTCTTTTCACAAGAAGTCGCAGACGATTAAAAAAGGCCTGTTTGGTTTGTCTGTCCTCTCCCCATTCCAGGTATGTTGTCGTCAGCAGCATTGCTTTCATCGCCTTAGTAACGAGGCACGGTTCTATGTGTTCAAGCATCACCACCACCAGGAGGCGCTGACCACATTCTATCACATGCCGTTGAATGATATCCAGCTCAAACCTGCACCAGTTACTTTTGGCAAAATTATTCGACAGGACAATGATCACTTTCCGGCTATTTTCTATACTTTGAACAATATTGTCAACGATCATCTCACCAACTTCAAAGTCTCGGTTATGGATGCACAATTTCAGCCCGTCTGATCCCTCCAATACAGGAGCAGGTGCTGTTTCACCCAGGCCAGGTCGTCGATGTTGTACGCTACGAATACGTCATACAGAAACTGTTGTCTGTCTGACACCTCCCGTTCCTTGTATCTCATCATGAGCACCAGATACATCAAGTTCCATCTGTAGTAGTAGAGGACAGACAGGGTGGCCAGGAGGGTGATGAGGACACTGGAACCCACAAGGAGGATCATCAGGGCGTTCCAGCTCAACAGACACGTTCGGTCTGATATTGCCACATCTCGGATTTGGGTGTCAAGCAAGTCTTTGGGACTATGACAGACATAGCCTGCTTTGTGCCAGTCAGCTCGGAATAGGTAAGGGTCTTTTTGAAAGGTTTCAATGAACCACAGAGATTCGCACCCACACGAAAGGGGATTGTTCGATAAATCCACATACCCAGATCCGTTTTTTGAGGTTAGATAGAAATGTTGATTGTTTGACTGACGTTATCTTGTTGTTCCCCAGGAATAGACGAACAAGGTTGTCCATGTTGTTGAAGAGGTTTGGTTCCAAGTCGCTGATCTCGTTATGGTACAATGCTAACCGTGTCAGGTTTTTCAGATACTTGGGAATCGCTTTAGGGATCGCATTTATTCCACATCCTCCCATGAACAATTGCTTCAGATTTGTGTGGTTCCTAAACATACGGTCATAGTCCTGCTCCCGTAAATACGAGAAAACATTATAATTGATATCCAGATATTCCAATGACGGACATCCATCAAACATTGTAAGGGTGGGACTTTCCTTTGAGCGGTTAAACTCAATATGGTTCTTTTGAAAGTAGATGTATTGGAGAGTGTTACTCCTGAAAGCTCCTGGTTCCACCTTGCTCAGGGTGCATCCAATGCTAGACAGACCAAGCCTTTCGAGAGATTTCAGACCAGCAAACTGGTCCTTCTGTAACCATGGTATGAAGTTCCCATCAAGACGTAAGATCTTCAGTGTATCCAAACAGTTATAGTAACTTTTGTTCAAGTTCCTGAAGTGGTTATACCTGATATCTAGTTCGATGAGTTCTGGGAATTGCGGTTTACCGCATGGACACAGATTGGGGAAGTCATCTAATCGATTGCTGTCAAGACGAAGCCTTTTAATGTTCTGGACATAACCGTCTGTCATGTCCATCCGAACAATCCGGTTGTTTCTGAGATTGAGGTACACGAGTCCTTTCAAGGGTGCAAATGCCCCCGAATGGAACATCTCCAAACGATTATTGACAAGACTGAGATTGAGACTGACAATGTGAGCTAGAGGGTTGAAGAAATCTTTAGGGAACATACTCAACTTCGTACGACTTATCGTGAGACTCGTTATCGAGGAGTTTTTAAGGCTGGCAACCGCCGATGTCAGTGATCTCTCCGTAATGCGGTTATTCGAAAAAACAATCGTATGCATGTTTGTGAACCCACTGAAGGCATCACCGGAGACGTGGGAAATATTGTTATTGAATATGAGCAGGGATCTTAGGCCGGACTTGGGAATGTTACGGAACGTATCACTAGTAACACTGGTCAGATTATTTTGGTCTAATGTCAGATACAGTGGAAGGGATTTGTTGGGTGGCGTTGGGATGCGTGTGAAGGTACCACCTGAACAGTTCATGTGCACAGCATGGGAAGAATGTGGCCGACAGAGGCATTGTCCATTAGGGCATAGTCTCCATACCAACTCACCATCCACGTTAAGCAGTCCCAGGACACACAGCAGGGTGACACTGGACTTTACCAGGAACATCTTGATGATCAGTTCAGGTTCCCTGCGAAGTCACTTCCTCCACTGACCCTTCTTTGGACGTCCTTGTGCAACCAGAAATTGCGGATGTCTAACGTTGTCTGTTGCAATGTTGTATGTGATAACTGATGTAGTATCCGGGTAGATGATTGGCCCCCTCAACCAAATCTAGAAAATAACATGCACATGTTCAACCAACGACAGCAATATTGAGTGCCAGTGTGATATTGAAAATAACATTCGTTAATATGGTCTAACGATAGGCACTTACAATTTTTCATCATGCATACTTTTATTTAAGAACAGGTTTCAAAAATATTTTTGCTGCTATTGTTGGTGTATAAACGAAAACACATGTTCAATTTCATTCTTATTAATATTTTAAATAGCAATAACACGGGTTGCATATTTATTCAGTAACACAAAACGTGTCGACAGCATGAGTCAGTGGCGTCATTCAAAGCAATACTGCACACAGACCCTGCCCATTCCAGTATTTGCAGGAAACATTAGTTTGTCGGTTGGTATGGCCTGCTTTGTTTCCAGTTAGAGGAAACATAAACTCCTCAGAAATGCTCGCCTTCCCGGTCAAATACCCCTGAAGCACTTTGAATTCGTTTACTTCCTTATCAATCATAATATTTAAGGTTAATCTGCTTTAGGGTGAACGTAATACTTTCTCCCTATTTGTTATTTTGGGAAATGATTGTCATGTAAACAGATATGGACATCGTTTCGCGTTAGAATTCCTTGGGTGTGTCATTTGTAATAGTTTTCTGGAATGCCTCAGTAGCTTACGGACATCTGAATCAAATACATAACTTTTTGTAAACAGCTATTCATAACACGTCATACTTAATACACTATTAATCTTCAAATTCCAGGTGCGTTGTAAGGAGTTATATTATATTTGTATTTAATCCTGAAATGCATCACCTTGACATAAGGATTGTGCTTCCCTGTCGTTTCATCACAACCTGATGTGGAGTTTTATTGGGCTCATTTACATGATCCTGTTTGTAGAATTTGGTTTATGAGGTATGTACTCAAGACATGGTGTACGATCTTAAACAGGGAATGAATTGAAATGAATCTAATGTCATTGACTTGAATGAATTTGGGCAATATTATTTCATTGTACCATTTTACCTTTCTAATATAGACTTGAATGAATTTGGGCAATATTATTTCATTGTACCATTTTACCTTTCTAATATAGACTTGAATGGATTTGGGCAATATTATTTCATTGTACCATTTTACCTTTCTAATATAGACTTGAATGGATTTGGGCAATATTATTTCATTGTACCATTTTACCTTTCTAATATAGACTTGATGAATTATTGTTTATTTGTTGTTTCTCTTCTTCAAAGATTTAATTTTTAATTTTTTTATAAATAGACACGACATCAAGACACCAACAAAATGGTTAATTGTTCTTTTGCTATTAATTTTCCTGTCATCCTTACCAACATGTACAGAGAGAATAAAATGATCGTTGGCGCAAGGAAGAAAGACAATAGTCTGTGAAACTATGGAACGATACAAATAAACAACCTGAGCAGGAAAAATACGAAATATGCAGACTCTTTTAAAATAAACCAGACAAAAACATATTAGGGACTACTGTCTTCCTAAAACCGGAAATACCCATTTAGGATCCCTCTTAACGCATGATGAAGACGGGCGGCACAGCAGGATCCACAACCCCGTTGACTAAGGTAGCCTTAGTGCAATGTTAAAGAATGGGAGTAAAGGAGAACCTGTACCTACTGTGGTTTCTAATGCATCAGATTAAGGGGACTGATATCCACACGAACAAAATAATTTTGACTGAGAGCGAAAGCATACATCGATCCCAGCTAACAATTTCACGTAGTCACAACGCTATGCTTTTGTTGTTACAACGTTATTCTGTGGACTCCCATTTACGTTGTCACAACGTTGTGGCCTGACGTTGTGATACGTCATTTTTACGTCGCCACAAGGATAATTTATTTGATGCTAACGTATTTTGCGTTATCTTAACGTTCTATTTAATGTTAATAGTTCAATAGTGAGTGAGTGAGTGAGTGAGTAAGTTAATATTTAGCGTCACATCGGCAATATTGCAGCCATATCGTGACGAGAAAGATTTATTTTATATCAATAGTAAAATCTATAAATTTAGAACGTAAAAACCTGTCAACGAAGGACAGTAAAAACACTAGATTATCATAGCTCGTAGTTTAACACTAGTACGCTATCATACAAATAAATCACTACAGACAACAGTACAATATAAAAACGGGCTATAGATCACCAGCAACTGAAGGTTGATCACCATACTAGTGAGTGAGTGAGTGAGTGAGTTTAGTTTTACGCCACACTCAGCAGTATTCCAGCTATGTGGCGTCGGTCTGTAAATAATCGAGTCTGGACCAGACAATCCAGTGATCAATACAATGAACATCGATCCTCGCAATTGGCAACCGATGACGTGTGTCAACCAAGTGTGTCAACCACCCGATCCCGTCAGTCGCCTCTTACGACAAGCATGGGTTACTGAAGATCAATATTCTAACCCGGACCTTCACAGGTCAGCACCGTTTGATGTGTGGACCTATGTGTGATATATATGAAGAAACAACAATGGTGATATAGTATTCTACTGACAATTATGTTGATAATCACATCTTGCGTCACATCTAGATTTGATCAACGACGAATATCAAACGTGACAAAAACAGCCCAAGTACAATAAAGTGACAAGAACACATGTCTATAGGTTCGAGCATCGGTCATAAAGGAAGACACAGATTTAGAATCAGAAACAAACCGCGTATCAGTTATATCAGTTGCACTTCAGAAACTGTGCCGTCGTGTTTTTCAACACTTAAAAATTGGCGTTGCAATATGTAATTATCCCCGACACAGGCACAGAATTTGGTAACTTACGGGAAATATTGACTCTTCATGGACGGCGATCGCAGCGGCGTATAACGTCTGTACGACTTCAACGTGTACAGTTGAACGAATAACGCTGAACACATCCGCGTGAAATGGTGTGCTTGTGGTCAACTTCCGGGTACACACTGGGGGGTATTTTCATCAAACACTCACCGAGACCACACGTTTTTGATTTTGTGTTCCAGGGTAAACCCGACTCTATCTTTGAAACGACAATAGCGTCGTGACTCATGCACGGGTCTCAGTCGAACTGAATGTCACTCATATATAGGCGTGTCAACATTATACGTGAAGGGCCGTGCTGATCCAGGCCGTCACTATGTACCACTTGAGTACAGAACGACCGTGAGTGTGGTCCTTATACACAGAGGATCACGACAACTGTTTGATGCGGAGGTTCCATCAATGTGTCTACACAAACTAGTGCCTGACATTAAGAGCAACAGTCAGTAAGGGCCCGTTCATAATTTATGACTAGGGAGGCGTGATGATGATTTTAAGGGGGTCACCCATCTTGTTCTGGGGAGGTAGGGGAGTCATCAGTTTTGTACACATGTACAAGGGGGTCAGCAATTTGTACCTAAAGAAACTAAAATTTATGCTTTAAAATTACGGAGGCGCGGGGAAAGTGAGTGTCATTGATTTTGTACTTGACATGCGCGCGCGCGGGGGTGGGGTGTGTGTGTGTGTGGGGGGAGCATTCACATCGTACATGCTTCTCCATAAAAATCATTATCAACCCCCCTTGCCATAAATTATGAACGGGCCCTAATATGACGAGGTCCGTTTTCGATGTGTTCACTTGTTGCAATCTGGGATCTATTCGGACCTGGATACCTTTAGATGGGTCTTGCCGTTACGAAGGCCCGTATTCGATTCGAAACATGGGTATAATGTGTGAAGCTCATTCTTGATGTTCGCCGTCGCTATATTACTGGAATAATGCTCGGTATAAACTATACTCAGTAAACTAAATTCAGTACACTCAACCTATACTCAGTACACTGCACCCTGACCTGGAATATCCAGAAGGGTTATCAATGAATATCTGAAGATGAAACATTTAAAACACTGTATTAATATATAAGTGTAAGTTATGTGACAGTTCAGTTCGGACTTCCAGTGCAGGAAATTAAAACTTCCAATGGCGGACGTTTTTCGTTACCTATTGTTCAACAGAAACGAAAATCAAGATGCAACAAATTGTGGATTGTTTGAGAAGACGTTAATTGTGCATATTGTGAAAGTGAAAGGTGAAGATATCTGGTGTAACATCACCCCTCCAGAGGTACAGATAAGCTGCGTATCTGCGTAAATTTCGCAATATATGTATGTGAAAACTCAATTCCTATTAAGTCTATTGCGTACATGTACTCTTGAATTTTTGTAAATACTCAATATGGTTGATCTTACATGCGTACACACAAAAATGTTAAGGTATATTGAGAGGTTCTATTTCAGGACATGAACTTGGCAACTAGCAGTGTTTCTTATCGTTTCTCATATTACTGATCAAATATAAACAACACGTAAACCAACATTGAAACTTTATTATTTTTTCACAATAAAAGGAAAATGGCAAAATACCCAATTGAGTTTGTGTGAGGTGGGTATAATTTATTTAGTTACTCAAAAAATCATTAGGATACCCAATTGAGATGAACACAAGCGAGTACATAACTCAATGACCCAAAAAGTTATCTGTAGCTCTGCCGCTCTAGCATGCATATGGATGTGAAATATACGAGTATGTTTGAAATTATATTGTACCTGTCTAACGTCATCTTCATTAACCGTTATTTACCACGGTTGTTCTGTCATGAGGCATGTACTAATAACAGTCCATTTATTATGCACAATGCATGCTCGAAGCGCCCGAACAATCTGATTATTATTACCCCGGGCAATCAAAGCTGCCTGTTAGGCGCTAGAGGGTCATAGTCACTTGACTTTGTCCCACCGGGTACCCATTTTCTGCTGGATGAACAGAGGCAATTTTGAACAAACTCACTTACCTGGTGAGACCACATGTATCACATGTGCTTCGTTGTGGGGCAGGACAGAAGTCCTGGAAACTCTCAGGAGTCAAACTGCCCTACACGGCCACCCATCCAAGAACTCTCCGCGCCCAACGTTGGTGAACTTCACCTGATTTGTGACCTAAGCTCCATGCACAGGACCACGAGACACACAGATGATAGACTACAGTTGTATTATGAGAGACATATGATTGATTGAGACGTAGTTTAAGTATGCAGCTGTATTAAGAGGCACAGAGAACACAGACTACAGTTGTAGGCATGGGACCCTTCTCTAGTTTCTTGTCCTGCGAATACTTCCTTAATAGAACGACCTGATAACACCGACCGACAAAAGAACCCTCTTCACTCTACTTAATATGCAGAGCGATTAAATATTGGATAAGGTTATTAAGTATGCGACCCTACCGTTTACCGAAAAATGCTATTATATATATAATATGATGTTACTATATGAAGAAGAAGGTAAAAGCATTGGATAACATATGTCAAACACCTACTTTTTCAACTGGATTTTATCATTTATGGCATGAACAAAAGGTTGAATTTTCGTCATTGTTTCTAAATATATTCACGCAAAGAATAAAAGATATTTACAAGCAAAAATGGTTGGAATCAATTTCAATGTCAACAAAATGTAATTATTACTCAATCTTTAAAACTCACATTTGTACTGAACGTTATTTATCATGTGTTAATGTTTAGAAATTTAGAATATCTTTAACTCGTTTCCGCTGTTCGTCTCATGATCTGTTAACTGAAAATGGTAGGTTTATGAATATCAAAAGAGAAGATAGAATTCTGTAGATGTGGTAAGAATAATGTTAGAGAAACAGATGGTCATTTTCTTCTCGTATGTCACATAATACTGTACGTAAAAACATATGAAAGAATTGTGTGCATCCATCAATTGATAACTTTCCTTCTCTTATGATATATTCAAATGAAAATGTAATTCAAAATGTTGCTGTTTTCATTTATCAAGCTATGATGATAAAACAAAATCGTATATATGAAATGTACTATAGGCCCGTGGCCTCCTCAGTACTGAAATAAAGATTGATTGATTGATTTACTTAATATGTATCAAGCACGGATGGCAAGAAAAAGGACTAAAGTCATGGGTTTTCCAACTCAGGGCAAATTTGATCAATTTCCAAGTGTGAAAAGTAGAAAATATCTCTGCATTATTGCGGTAACTACTTTAGTTTCTACACATGTAAACGTTGGAGTAATTGGAAAATTTAGCAGTATCAAACGAACACACTTTTATATGCTTCCGCATCCATTGGAAATCTGTGCTAAAATCAGTGTCGATTGTATGATTCCGAACACATCTTGAGTACTTGCTTATAAATAATTATCAATTTAATCAATATGAAACTTTAAATGTATCGAATCTGGTGCACACTCACCAGTGATTGATATCATGAGTAAAGATTCACCCAGTAAGTTGACAAGCTAATAATCTACTAACCGAGCCTGACTGCCAGGTCATTGGGTTGCCTCTTAAACGACACCCAACAGCTAGTTCAGCTTGACCTGATCAAGTGAATACTAATGCATTGCGTGACCGTGTCACAACTGGTTTGGTCTATTATTGTGAAGGGGTGCACCTTTATCAGTTGAATGTCGACATGTCCAAACGGCCGAGACAAGGTCATTTCAGTGTCGAGAAATCGTCAACAATATCCTAACTTTCTTTAAAAAAGGAGCTGCAGATGGTTTAATGTTTCCGATTCGGACTTTTAGGCGACTGGGACAGAACTATTGCAGCTGAACATGAAATAGACAAAAGTGTTAATTGAACTGGGTGAAGAGAGTGATATCGAGAGTGAATCGGATTGTGAAAGTAACTGACGTCTGTGCGTTGTAAAGTTAGTAAACCAAACTAGATAGCAATGACTGTATAAACAGTTCAATTAAAACATGAAATTATTGTTTTTTCAGGAGTGTTGTTTTCCGGGACAAGTTCTGTGACGAATTATGTATGCATGCTTCGCACGAACGCAACATGAATAGCATTCTCTGCTCAGGGTCATGCATATGTAGAGTAGCTCAGGTGAAGCTGAACAAGCTGAAGCTATTCGTTACCACAAGTACTGTTCACTGATAGACTGCTCTTGAACAAATATCTATTTCGCAACAAACGCTTGTAGTCTAACGTTGAATATGGTGTGTATGCGTGCGTGCGTGCGTGCCTGTAGTAACGTTCGTAAATCAGGGAAGCGGAATTAGGTATTTGATTATTATCGCACGATATCAGATCATCGTTACGCCCGTTGTTGAATATTATAACCCTCTTTTGAATTTGCAAATCGGAGCAGAAATGTCGATTTGTAATTACCATGACACTGTTACGCAAATATATGAATATATCAAATGGAATATACAATAGAATAATGTATATAGCCTATGAGTGAGTGAGTGAGTGATTGTCTGAGTGAGTGATTGTCTGAGTGAGTGAGTGAGTGAGTGAGTGAGTGAGTGAGTGAGTGTGTGAGTGAGTGTGTGTGTGTGTGTGTGTGTGTGAGTGTGTGTGTGTGTGTGTGTGTGTGTGTGTGTGTGTGTGTGTGTGTGTGTGTGTGTGTGTGTGTGTGTGTGTGTGTGTGTGTGTGTGTGTGTGTTCGTATGCGGTTGTGGTTCTAGACAGGTGCTTTTGCATAAACTTCGATTTGTCAGTAACCTCCAAAAGTAAAACCCCAAAATGGATCTTTTCCTAGTTTCTTTCTGGTATTGATCGTGTATCAATAGATATGATCGCAGCTCGTGATATTCTAATGGTTATTTCTTTTCCTCTTCTTTTCTCACGTAAGGTACTATCGAAGCCGTGCTTTGGTTTCGCAATGCTTGTACATGTTTGAGCCATGTGTGGACTACGTTGAATTTACAGTTTCGCTTTGGACATTGTGGACGAAAATGCGTTGACGTATTGTTAAGAGGGGTTTATCATATACATGTAATGGTGATCGATGAGATAAGCACAGTAAGTACATACCTTATCATCAGGTTTTTTACATATACTGGACAAAAT